TATCAAAAAGAAATAATTGTAGATTCTTTAAATTTCCATTTAATATTTATATTAGAGTTTTTTAGGTACAGTACAATTTTTTTTTTAATATTTAAGGACTTTTTGAGCTATTCATAAACATTTAAACATTTTTTCTATATATGTAAATTAACATTATTATGTTACATCAAACAGTTTGAAACTGTAATACACGGTCTCAAATAAACTAAACGTATAGCATTTAAAAAATATTGAAAATGCATTGGAGGAATTCGTTCGTAGTATAGACATTTTAAGTTCAGTTTTTCGTAATTGGATATTTAAACGATTTAAATTAGTTTATTGTAATTCAAAAAGTATTATTTTTAAGGTTCTGATACTTTTCCCGATTACATATTATAATATTATAATTATTAAACACAGTAACATTTTCAAAATATTTAGTTTAATTTTAAGCCATTTATACCACGAACCTATTCACACCGTTCTACAATAGATCGGTATTGACTTTTATTAGTTAATAATAGCAAGTTATAGGTATTACACAAAATAATATTATAATTATTATATCCACTATAGTGATCAACTCAATGGCGATGACTACTCGATCCCTACAACTATACCGTATAACGCGACTACCTCGGGGTTTTTTAGAATAGATTCTTTAATTCGTATAATTCTCTAAATCAGATAGATTTAAAAAAAATTAATACCTCAATATATTGATCATGGGCAATCGTGCTTCAGGGCATCAGCCCCTACTAAAATTAAAATATCCAAACCCTCAAAAACTAACCATTTTATATGACCATAATTCAAATGCGTATAAGTAATACGAGAAAAGGTTAAGTTTAAATAGGTAGATTATTTATTCGTCATTTTTATCTACTGGGAGTATTACGAATAAATTTTGATAAATTTGGGCTATCATAAAATATAAATACATTATTAATCAATATAGTTAACTGTTCATTATCAAATAAAAACACAATATACATCATTAATTGATTAGGTATACCTATATTTAATTTATATTTTATGATTTTTTTAATTAATAATAAATAAAAATTACATGCAATTAACATATTAAGCGTGTTTCACTTATACCACATAGAAAACATACCAATTAACAACACTATATTATGTACTAAATCAATCGAGAAAACCATACATTTTATAAATCCGAATTAAAAAAACTGCCAAAACCTCTGGACACTGATATGTATAAATTCTTTTTTATTAATAACTTCTATGGTTATATAAATTATGTTTATGTAATTACAATTTACAATATACTTCCTTGAAGTATAAAACATATAATAATATGCTATACAAAATTTTAATAATATATACTAACTTGGTATACTAATTATTAAACTATAGGTATACAACTTAAAAATCATATAAATAATAAACTTCAAATTAACAAAGCTATACTTTACAGACTTTATGTCTAATTGGTAATAAATTATTAATACATATTAATACCGATAGTACCTATACAACATAATAAATGATTAATTATATAACTTTATATTTATACACTATGTGTATCGTGTACATAGTATAGAATATACCTATATATAATGAAATTAAATATTATAGGAAATATTCATTTTAACTTATTAAAATCGAACAAACAAGTACCTATCCTAGAAATCGACCTTCAAATTCAATATTGTACAATATAATACGAATGTACTGGATACCTATTACGTTTGCGATATATATAATGGTAGTAAACTGTAAAACAATAAATGATTTTTATTTGTGATACCTATAATATGGAATTTAAAAAAGGTTTTTTTCGTCTTGTCGATACTATCAATTATTTCACAACTCATAAAAAAATAACAACTGACAACAATTCAAAAATAATGTCCGTAAGCGCTGCAAATTTAAGAACAGTTTTTCATGTGCCATGATTACTGATTTATCATTGCGTTTAATTTTTTTTTTTTTTTATCTCAACTCAACTACTATCCTACGGCGATGTGTGAGAAACAAGACGAGTAATCTACGCCTGGATTTTGTTTGGTAATTGGATTATACATTTGCATAATATTTTCATTTTTTTTTTTTGTTTGTATAAAACAAGCTTGTCCTTGAGATCAATCTCTAATATTTTTAGTACCTGCATATAATTATAATTTTGTATTATGTCATGAGTACTAGAGCCATACTTCACGTATCAACTTCACTTTTTGTTGGACGTCATAATATGCTTCATAGAATATGAATTGATATACTACGAAAAGGTCGTGTATGAGACGTACTGTAGACATGCAGTTATATAATTTCCCTTCATCATTAATGGTACAATTCCTTCAATTACATTTATAAACATAAGATGTTGAGCTCTGTGTTTATTTATAATAAAACAACAAATAAATATTAATTAATAGGTAATATTATTCAATACAATTTTTACTTTATACACCACACATTTTATAAACATCTAAATACTGTATAGTTACATATAATATATGTTAAATTACCTAAAACTTAGTTAGTTATACATTATAAAGAACAAAATATAATGTTTCAGCAGAACCATTGTTTCCTTGTAAAAATTCTTTAAACAAACAATATTGTATATTGTATATAAAATCAATATTTATGGCATACAGTGCCGTAAGCTGAACGTTTTTCCTTGGGAACATAAATTGTATTTCATATATGTGGAGCGGTACCGTATATAACAATATAATAACAAGCTCTCAAGGTTCTGTCGTGAATGATTTTGTATGGTTTAAACTAGGAAAATATTTTTACAAATACATTTTGAGGAAAAATACTACAAGATGCTCATAAAAAGGATTATTTCCATCAATTATTTATAATATGTGTCTTAGCTCTAAAATCGATGAGAATACTAGAGCCAAAGTTAATACCAGAAACAACATACTGCGGAAATTTGTGAATTCCAAATGGGGAGCTGATGCAGTGATGCAAATACCTTGAGAACCTCAGCAATAGTGATATGCTTATCAGTCTGACAGGCATCAGCACAACCGAAAAATATTGATGTAGCGCTTAACGATTTTTGTAGAACCATAACAGGTTGCCTCAAATCAACAGAGGTATATAAGCTTTATACCTAAAATGGAATAACAACTCCAGACACACGTAGGTCTACGAAAACCAAAAATGAAAGATACAAAATATGCAGGATGCAATATATCCAATTTAAGAGATCACCCGATAAAAACACAAAGAAAACAGAATAATATAATATGGAAAGAAATTAGTGTATCACGATATGATGATAAATTAACTGATATGAATAATAGAGAGCCTTTCGCCAGAAAAAAACATAAAATATGAGGCATTGAAAACACTTAATTGACTATGAGGAGGGGTAGTTAGAACTAAGAAAGAATTAGGGCCAGTTGCACCGTCTCTGATTAAAGTTAATCACAGTTTAATCGGCCAAATTTGGCCGGTTAAATATCTGTTATCAGCTGATTAAGCTTAATCATAGTTTAATCGTAGATGGTACAACTGGCCCTTAGGAACTTAGTGAAATGGAGAAAAATAAGATAAAGACATACTTCAATGTTGAAGCGTCCAGGTGGGAAAACATTTATTGGATATCCCTATGATGGGGACTCAATAAGAATGGACAGCGGTCCGCGATCCATTTTATTCATCCACCCAAATACCTTGCGTATGCTGTGTACGCTCGTGTGCAAGGCAATTATATAACAAAATTATTTGTTACATATTATTTGAACGAATATTTTATACAAACTATATAAAAAAAAATTAACATTGCAAGCAAATGTGTATTTTCATCCTTTCAAGTTAACTGTGTTAGAGAAAAATATATAATATTTATTTCAGTATAGGTACTATATGTATGATATTATGTACAATTTTAATTTATAATTTGTACATAAAATATATTTTAACAGTAACACGCACTTTGTCGTTTATACCAAACATATTCTCTAATTATTTTACCACTTACGTCCTGACTCATAAACATATTTTCGATGTAAAATTCCTTTCGTTGCCTAATAGTTGCGTGATACCCAATTAGAATTAATTTAGAACTTCGCTGTTAAATTAAAGGAATAAAACTATAATTGTTTCAATAATTAAGCTAAGTTTTAATTTGTCTACTTAAGAAAATATTAGCTTATACGTATTATAGTTTAAGGTTATAATATAACTCTTCGGAAAATAAGTTTTCTTAACTATTACTATTTTTTAAAGAAATGTATGGATATCAATAATATTATTATGTTTCTATTTTATTGAATCACATAAAATTATATCATGTAACAATTAATGATAAAAATTGCATAATCAATTAAACTGATTAGTCAACAAACTATTAAAACACAACCGATGTCTATTTAGTATTTATTAAAATACCCTTTCATTCAATTCGATTCGAGACATACCCAATATTCTTTTTTTTATCATTAATTTGCAATCTTTAAGTCAATCAACTATATAAGCAATAATAAGCTATAGTGATTAATATCATTTTGCTTTTGAAGCAAACACTATATCTCTGTATATTTTTTTTTTTATCTAAAACAAAACATCGGCGACAACGGCCATTAGTTGTTGCTGTTATACTAATTAGAATTATTTTTTTAATGTATATTTTTAATTTAAGTATAAAAATTCTCTGTATATTTTGTTCTCGTAGGTATATAACATGTATTGATTTGTATTAGGTATATATAAATTATAGGTACATTTGGCGTCCAAAATAATTTTTTATATTGTGTTTTATATAATTATTACATACTTAATATAAATAGATACCTATGTATGTATATATATATATATGTGTGTATTATTATTACTTAGAAAAAGCCACGGAAACTAAGGCCATTGACTATTAAAAATTATACAAATTATATTAAATTATAAACACGTTCCCTGCCACGTTGTCGTAAAATAATAATACTAATAATTTTCGAGTTTATCACATATAAATACGCATATACGATAACCTATTTTTAATTCATACAAGATAAATACATAATTTTAACACTCACAGCAATATTCGCGTAATCCATTGATGCACTGGGTTGGGTCCTGTGTCTCTTTTCGTTTGCACTCATGTTGTAAAATAATGTATAGGTATCCTTTATGAATCTTATAATTGGTGTACAATATTACCAAACGGAAAACAAAATTGAAATCGTATGCGTTCAGAAATCTTTTTTCTTGGAGATCGTCCTATCCTTGCTGGCCGATAGGTCGAACTCATTGATCGCTGTACCGGAGTCCCTTCCGGTGGTCCAGACACTACAGGTGCCGTTCTGGTGTAATGAAGTACCTCACTATAAAATAAATACACACCATGAATTATAATTAAATGTTATCGCTGAAAATTTCATTTTAAGACATTTAATAAGAGAAATCGTAATTTGTGAAACATACAGTGATATATTATACATTATAATTATTGACATAAGATTTATTACTACGAACCACTTTTGTACAAGGTATAATACAAATAATTGCAGTTTTTTTTTACACAGTACAGTGTTGATCAATGTGCATTACTCATTACTTTGCAAAACGTCAGTGTTATTATAATATTGCATTGAAGAGACTTATTATAGTCACACAAACGTATTATGTTACAACCTCACTACATTATATGTTTTGAGAATATTTATTTCTTATTTCTAAAAATGTTTAAACGTAATACAATTTTAAGAACCTTAACATACATTTTTTATTTATAAACGCTAAGAGATAGACAGATCGTTTGATATTACAATCATTCTCTTTATATAACCACCTACTGTCAAAGTACACATAATAAGCCCTTAAAAATGTTCTCAACATTTCAGTATAATTAAAATTAAAATTGTATTATAGGTAATTAACCTAACCATTGTATTAAGTCAAATTTAATTAAGGGTAATAAATTAAATGAATTTTTTAAACACTATAAAAAAAATTGTATTTTATTAACCATTCTCTTTTTATGTAATTTCAAATTTTAAGCGGAGCGATGAATGTATTGAATTTACTATGATGTGTGTTATTTTGTGCATGTATAATTGATATGTTACCAGAAGATTAGACATTTAGGAAATTATGACAATCACTAATAAAGGAAGGAAATTATATCATTACTTAGTACATGTTATCGTTTCCTAACGGCTAGCGATATTAGGCAATATGATGCCATAATATTATTATTGCTAAACACATCATGATACAATTTTTTTTCTTAGATTTTTTAATTTAATTAGTCTAATTTAAATATTACTTTCATCTTACATAGTTATTAATAACCCTATTACCCTAATAAATAATCAATCAACAATGAGTACAAAATCGCAAGACATTTTTTATCAATTCGATTATAATATAATACATTTTTTAAATATTTTAATTTAATTTATAACTATAAGTTGAGTACTTTTTTTTACTTTTTTCTGTAACCACTAATGACGGAGAGTGAAAATAATCACTTTATGATAAAATACTTACCATAAAAGTATAAAACCCGTAAACACAAAGATTAAATAACATTCACATAGTACACGAGTCTTGTGGGACCGGCTTTAGATAGAATAGTAGATATGAGTTTAATCGAAGTAATTCTATCTAAAATCAGTTCATAACTATCTTTATGTTTTTAAATAAATTACTGTCTTATAAATGCAGGATTATAATATTTTATTAAACATTACATTTTAATATTTTTAAAGCTAAATATAGGTACATAGTCGATAAGAGATTTTTTTTTACATTTTCAAAACTAAAAGAGTAAGAAAGTGATAATATCACCTTATAAACCATGGAAATTATGACAATTCCTAGGCAATGACTTAATTTGGTTCCTTTATTAGCAATTATTGTCATCATAATTTTCATAATTTCCTAAACATTTTCATCTTCCTAACTTAGTGTAACTAAGAAGTTCAACTAAAGTTTTGATTTTCAACATAATGACCATCCACGATCAAGCATCTAAACTCTATAAACGATTCCATAATAAACTATACTCAATCATTCAAATCTTCTTATATCCAACTTATTCTCCGTAGACCTTCCCGATATAACCCGTCGACTAAAAAGAAAATGGTCCATGAACCTTTTAACCTAATTAGTAGTAACTCACACCTAATTTAAGTAAAAAAAAACTAAAATGTTTCTATTGCCTTTTACCAGTGGCATATTTAGGGAGGGGACTCAGAGGGGCAATTTTTCGGGCCCCAAATTCTGAGTTACATCATAAAGGGGGAGCCGGTGCTTGAGGTTCAAAATACCTAATACCAATGAAGAATTTTTATTTTTACCATACACTACATTAATCATTTTATAATTTAACATATATTATAGTAAAATAACCGTGAAAATAAAATAAAATATACAAGGTAAGTGTCAAAAGAAAAATTTTGCCTGCATACTAGTTGTATTTTAAAGATATAACTACAAATTGGTGAAGGTTCGAGGTTGATACAACAAATTGGAGGGGGGGCAACTTCAAGCAACTCAAAAAAGGTCTATTTCGAATTTCCCAGGGTTTGAAAGTTGTATACTTATATCCGAGTTCTTGTTATATCTGAGTTGAATATTAATATTTACCATTTTAAAATGTGTGCTATTAATATTATCATTGGCTTTTAATAATAACGACAGCTGACAACCATAATAGGTTTATAACATATTGTAGGTATATTATAACATTAATGTTTTATTGTTCATCAGTTTAAGACATGTCTATCATTTAATATTATCGATGACTATTTAATAATGACAGTTACAAAATAATAAATTCGAATTTATGAAAAAAATATCAATAAAGTTTTTAATAGTGCCAGCCATAACATTGATTTGAAAAAAAAATATGACAAAAATTTAAAATAAAAGTGGCAAATCTACATTTTTAACCTACTATTCCTATACTATAGTCTAACAGTGAGCTGCGTAAAAATATGACGGAAAAATAAGTTCCGAAAAGTATAATGTTTATTTTATATTTTATGTTTTTAATTAGTATGTACCCAAAAAACCTGTAGTACAGGGCCTGTTAAATGTAATTTGTGACTTTTGAAATATTAATTGAAATACATAGAAATACTTGTTTTGTATTATTTTGATGTATTAAGCTGTGGGTTAACCATTGATTATCTAGAAATATTATGGTGTATGGGTACCTATTGCTTGTAAAGGGTTGTGTTTTATTATTGGAAATTTTGTGTAGGGCCCACAAAAACATTTAGTTCAGGGGCCCAAAATTGTATGTGGAGCTGACTGGCTGTAGGTACTCGATTTCACCCAACTTAAAATTAATCTATCTGTCCATCGTTTACCATTTTGCTTCAATTGAAATACACAATACAACTACAATAATAAATTATAAGATTTCCCACTTTTTAGTTTTAAGCATATCTCTATGATTAGTATTCGTCATTATGTTTTTACATAAAAATACGTCCAGAATTAAGAAAGAAAATCTTGACTGCAAATCACACAACTATAAAAGTATAATCGTTGTAATTGTGTTCATGATCATAAGTTTTTGATATTAAATATATTTTTAAAAAAAGGATATTATGCCTAATTTTTGTATTAATAATATAATCTGTAACCAATGACAACCATTTAATAGACAAAAAATTATTCGATTTTCTTGAGCCAAACCTAAATGCATGCATGTGGCCGTGAGGCGTGAGCCATCCTAAGCTACATTACTATAGTGCGGTTGAAAAAAATAAGCTATTCAAAACATATCCGAGACTCAAGAAATCGATTGATACAACTCTTATTGAAAACGGGACAGCAGTTGTTGAGTCTATAGAGGACCAACAGGCAACAAAGAAATATTAACTTTTTTATACAAATAGATTATAGATTAAACATATTTTATTGTACCTAAGCTACAATTTGTGACCCCTCCGCTTCACGAAAATATTTCCTAGTTGTTACACTAGGTGTATCGTGTATTGTTTTCATAACTATATTATATATTAGTACCTCTAAATGTTATTATCTATATTATATTATGTTATGACTTATAACTTATAGGTATCTATCTGTATGTGGAAAATATCCATACACAGCCAACATACCTACCAAAAAAGTAAAAAATAAAGTTTTAACGTAGATATGTTTTTAGGGTGGATACAACTTTTTTTTCCAACTGATTTTGCGTAACGCTTTGTTTATCACCATAGAAACTCAAATCAACAATAAAAATAAATCTATGATTCCTCAATTTTCCTTGCAGAGGAAAAATGTCTAATGGCGTGCTACATTTTTTTATTATACAGTTGTATTTTACAAGTTGACTACCTACTATATTATAATATGTGTAAATATATTATTTTTTTTTTTTATCAAAATAATGAAAATCTATTTTACGTAGAACGTCGTCATCGCAGCGGCACGGATGAGGGCGTGAGATTGTTCAATTTACAACGTTATGGCCATTGACGTACAAAACGGAGGGGGGCTGGCTAACGGGCTGAACCCCCTCCCTCATTAACCATATTATTATATATTTTTTTTTTTAATATTTATCAAGTTTCAAATGTATAGTCAACTGGTAAACAAGAACGTAAATTCATATACACGTAAACAGATTAACTAAGCCTAAAAAAAAACTGAGATAGTTGGAACACCTCTGCTGTACATTAGAAGTCGAGTCACTGTAATGGATGTGTTAAATTTTTATTTAATGATTTTATGACTAACTATATTATATCATATTGTATAAGAAAAACGAATCTGAGTAAAGACGGTGTGTCAGCTTTTATTTTATTTTATTAGTAATAATATAAGTAATTTGAATTATTAACTACTTATATGAGGCACCTTGTATTAAATGTTCAAGACTATTAGCCATAAAAAAGTGAACATTTTATACATTTTTAACTGCAAATAAATGATTTTGTCAAATTTAAAGTTTAAATGGTTATAAAAAATAATCGTTCCTAAAATATATAATATTTTGTTGTTAATATTTTTAAACAGCTATAATAAAAGCTTATGACAAGCTTTGCATTAAAGTTTTTGACCGAAAGAAATATCTTTTATCGACGATTTTAGAAAAAAAACTTAAATTATTCAAAAACAATCTATAATCAAAGAT